AGAGAGAGAGAGAGAGAGAGAGAGAGAGAGAGAGAGAAAGAGAGAGAGAGAGAGAGAGTATGCTTGCCTGCAGTGTGAGTACGTTTGTCAGTCCGACTGTGTGTTTGCCTTGAGTGTGTGTGCGCGATCGTAAACTTAAGCGTGGGAGTTACTTTTGGTGTGCCCCGTGACGGCCCGTGCTTGTTCGACAGGCCATCAGGCCCGGTACTTACCTATTGTCGTTACTTGCAGGGATTGCATTATGTAAAATTTGGTTTCCCTGTGTACATAATTTTATTCTTCTTATAATGCTCGATCTCTCATTTGAAGTTCATTTATTTCATTTTGCAATTGTATGTCATTGTACCATTAGCAATGGAGTCTGAGCGATTATAATCCTCGCTCTCGCCACTCAAGTTCATTCATTTACTGTTGCAACTGGATGTCATTGCAATATTGGATCAACGTGAAAATATGAATTGGTTAGGCTATATAATGTGCGATCCAACTATTGCCTAAGTGCGTAAGCATGTGAAGTATGGATGTATGTGTAACTCGACATTGGTCCAATAATATCTATACGTAGAGGAGGAAAAAAAAAAAAAMAAAAAAAAACACAAGACATGAGATACCATCAGATATGTGAGAATATATATATATATATATATATATATATATATATATATATATTCTCCCTCTCTGCCTACGGTTTACCGGGCAGTTCTATTTGACGATATATATTTATATATATATATATATATCACTTGGTTATCTGACGATTTTTTTCGGCGCTCACACACAGACATTCTCAAACACGGCCACACATGCATAAGAACAGGGGAATATGATTTTGTTTTTTAAACCACCTAACCACCCATAGAATATAAAACACGCCCACACATGCATAACAAGAGCGGGAGAGGTGACAGAGTCAAGACTGCACACAAACAAGGATAAGCAGCGGAATTCAACAATGCACACATGAGGGAGGTCACACAATGACTCTCACTCTCCGACAGATTCCCAACAAACAATCACAATAAAGAACCTCAAAAAAATCACAATTGATATGATGCTGATAATGAGCTTACTCGAACGAATATCACAACACTGTTTGTTATAGTCGCTTCGTCCCCAATCGATTTCCCTCATTCTACTAATAGAGTACAATACTCTAACCTACACGTAGACCGGACTGACTAACCGACCAATACCGTTGCAGTATAGGACCGTCCATCAGCTCTGGCCATTAGGGCCTGTCTGTCCTGGGGGTAGTCCGGGCCTGCAATTCGTAGTAAATGTACGCATAGGAAATTCGAAATAATGTTGGGCCTATGTTTCTCATATTTACAGATGCGGCCCTCACGAATTTTCCTCACAGATTGGTCTCACCGTTACGCCCGAGTCAAACAAAATAACAAATCTAACCCTACGGGGTAGTATACAGCCTCGCCATCAGTCTTCGCAGTCAGACTGAATATATATATATATATATATATATATATATATATATATATAATGAACACGTCAAACTGAAAAGCCAACAAACATAAAAGTCGCATGTACAAGATACTATGACATAACATAATGTCAGTCGTCGAACAACTCGACATCATCTGCGTCCGATAGAGAATTGCATGATCGATCGAACACGGCATCCGCCGGTCCAGGCAACCCATCCCCGTCGCCAATGATGAAAACATCGTCATCCCCCACAATGTCGGGATTCGCACCTGAAGCAACGTCGTTCTCGTCACGGACAATGGTATCCTCGCCTCTGCAAAAAAGATCGCGAGGCAGAGGAGGTGTCGAGGACCCGACCTCGCCCGACACATCACAGTCGTCGTACTCGAGAACGCGTCGAGCCCAATCTGAAACACATTTTGAACCGAAGATGAACGTGGACAGTCGATCCATCCACGAATCGGTAGGTGGCCGATTGTGACGGTAGTGGCTCGGCCTTGGACGAATCGAAGTCCTAGAAGGCCTGCGGACACGATACTCCAAGGGATCCTGCCATGCATGACTGTTCCATCGAATGACTGCAATCGCCAAACGCGGCTCATACGACTTCTCGAAGTGCAAAGCCTTCTTCGCGTAAATGATGATTGTGCCCTGGAAGGTTTCAACCGTCGATGTGTGACGGAACTCCGTGTAGTACAAACAAACTGTCGTGCTGCAATGCCTGTCCAACGTCTGGCGAATGATGTCATACACGGGGTCGTCGTGTGTGTACAGAGGCAGCCGAGATGGGTCACCCGCCTTTAAGCATAAAAGCTCTCTGTCCGCAACGCACCTGGAGTGGTCCCCGGCCCAATGGTCGACGATCATCATGACATCATTGTGCAGAGTGACAAAGTCGCTGCCCTCATCTCTACAAAGCTGGGAAGCACGAAGAAACCAATGCCCCACCTCATCCATATGGAACTCAGTCACACCATCTGCATCCACGACCAAGGATTTGTTGTTTTTCATCGTGCCGTACGGGTACATTTTGCTCATCACAAGAGCAACGAAGTCGCTCTTTTTCAATCGTTCTTCTTTTGCCGTCAAAGACCCTGGTCCATAACGGTCCGTCAAGGCATCCAACAACTCCTTCTTCGTGAACTGCATAAGTTGAGATTCCGACACGCACTGATGAGGGTTGTTCAATTTCTTTGGCACCTTCAGTGTCACGACTTTTCTAAGTGCCTTGCGAATGTTTTTTACCTTATGATGACAATCCTTCTGCCATTCAATACCCAGGCGCTCCAACTGTGGACCCAATGCAGCACAATCGTCGGAGACAACACACCGGATCTTCAACCCCCTCGACAGCAGGCCTCTCAACAGGCGCACAACAGCAGGAACCTCA